GTTTTGCATCCAAGACAATCTAAGAGATCTGACTTGAATCTAAGAATGTTGACTTTGTCACCTACATACAGTAAGCTCTAAGACACACACAGGACTAGGTCATAGTAAAGCAGTTAGAGAAGTAGGCTAAGGATTAGAAGGAGGATAAGGATGGACAGGTTTACTAGGAAGGCTGACTGTACATTCTGAAGGATTGGAAGCTGTAGAAGGACATTGTCTGAGCTCATCATGACAATCTGACTGTAGGACATTTAGGCCAACACAAAATGTAGGAACTTATTACTCAGAACTACTAGTAGTTAGAAATATAGAGGGAAATCCTAAAGTATGTGACTGGTTGTAATACATACTAACAGACTAAGGCCTACTAGACAAGGGTTCAAACTCCTCTACATCTGTATTGAATCCTAGATCACTCTTAGGAAGAAGTCTTGGTAGACCTGATTAGTGAGCTACTTGAGTCTCAGGGTTACAATACTATCTGTGTAATTATTAACCAATTCTCTAAACAAGTCTACATAGTTCCAACCTAAACAGAACTCACTTCTAAAGGTATAGTGTGTATTTATTAGGATTACATCTTCTAGTTGTACAGACTCTCTTAGAAGCTCATTCATGATTGTAGACTGTAATTTGAGTTGAAATTCATACAGAACTTGTATACACTTCTTAGAATTCAAGGGAACCCTTCTACTACCTATCACCTACAGACTAATAGTCAAACTGAGTAAGTCAATTAGAAGATTGAGCTCTACCTCTGAATGTTCATTAATCATTAGTAATCAGATTGGTCTGAATGGTTAGCTCTGACAGAATTTGTACACAATAACTAGTAACACTCTGTAACAGGACAGTCCCTATTCTTCCTCAATCATGAGAGACATCTGTACTAGGAGACAGTTCTGAACTAGAACAGTAGCTCTAAATCTGTAACAGACTTTGTAGAACAGATACACAGAACCAGGGAGGATGTATAAGCTCTTTTAGAGAAGGTAGTATAGGTTATAAAGTAGAACTATAATCAGAAGAAGTCTACAGCTAAGGATTACCAGCTTAGTGACAAGGTTATACTAGAAGCCACTAATCTGACCTTGAATCACCTAATAAAGAAGTTGGACAACAAGTGCTTCAGACCCTTTGTTATTGAAAAGAAGGTTAGTACCTCTGTCTACAAACTCTAACTTCTAGCAACATGGAAGTGTATACACTCAGTGTTTAATAAGGTTCTGTTGTCTTAGTACTATGATCCTAGTTTTCCTTTGTAATAAAGACCCCCTCTGTCTCTACTAGAACTCATTGGTTCTGAACTAGAATACAAAGTAGAATACATAGTAGATACTAAGCTACTGTACAGAAAACTCAAATTCCTGGTTTACTAGAAAGGGTACCCAGTTGAGGAGCATACTTGAGAACCTACTAAGAACCTTACCCATACTCTTAAGACAATCTGAGATTTCTATCAGCTTTATCCTAGTACTCTGTACAAACTCAGCCTTACAGATTTCCAAGCCCTACTGTTCTGACCTATACCTAAGCTGCTAACTAAGCCCTATGTTTACTAATCAGGATGATTGGTTTTAGAGGGGGGGTAATGTTACAATTCTCTACTCTCATACCTTTAGTTCTGAGGGTTCTACACTCTTCTGTACTAGAACTCAGGATTTCTATCCCTCAGGAGTACTGTCTATAAACTATATACATACTGACTTTTACTACTACCCTTCCTTACTTTGTCATTCTATTCCTTTGACCACCCCTTCATTCTCTGTTCATTCTATAGTCTCTTACCCTTTGTCCATCCCTTTATTCTTTATACCTTTATCTTTGACATTCCTTTCTTTCATTCTTTGTAACTTATCATTCTTAGTAGCTCATACTCTCTGAGTAATCTTGTGTAGTTTAGTATATATAAGTGTACAAGATCAGACTAGTCAGGTAGTCTTGATCTTGTCTACTCTAGGTAGTCCTGTACTCTTAGGCTTACTCTATATACTTTACTCTTGTCTCACTCTCTCTCTCTACCTGTTTTACAAGTTCTGACTATGTTTTAGTACTTGTGTTCTGTATTTCTGTTGTGTAGGATAGTTGTAGTCTGAGTCCCCTTACTAAGCCTTCAGGTCCCCTCTATACTGTTACTAACATCAGATTAAGACTACCCATTACTACCTTACAACTCTCCTACATTTTGAGTATCAGTACTTACTATTGTATCAATCTCTTTTCTTTGTCCCAACCCTTTTACATTTTTAAATTTTAAACTTTCTAAACCCTTTTAAACTTTTGCCACCCTTCTTCTATTTATTACCCCTTTTAGTTTAGTGCCAATTCCTTTGTAGTATAAACATAGACCCTCCTATACTAACTGCTGCCCCTACTGTCCTACTAGATTAGTAGTTACAAGTAGAACTAGCTCAATATGTATAGACCTTCATCTAAGAGGCCTTTACTAACTACATACCCTCAGCCCCTTCAGAACCTGTTCCAGTTGTTCTAGAAGTTGTAACCCATTCTGGAAAGAAAGTGTATGTAGCCTACCCTTTAGACTTTAATAGGTAGCACTTTAAGGACTTTCAGTACTAAGTTAAACTATATGTGGTTACTACTTTGACTAATCTATTCTCAGATCTCAATCATGTCCTATTTGTCCTCTCCTTCATGAAGGAAAATAACATGGCTACCTGGGCCTAGAACTGGATTGAAGACTATTAGATTGAAAGCCTGATCTGACTTTAGAACAACAAGTCATATTTGGAATTTATAGGGCAGCTCTGTACTTCCTTCATTAATCTGAATAAGAAGTATAATGTGTAGAACAAGCTTGCATCTCTGTGACAGGGCAAATGTTCTACCAATGCCTTCTTTCAGGAGTTCAATATCCTAGCCTAGAAGGTAGGATTCACACTTGGGTTCAATAATGTTCTTATTAGAATGCTTGAAAAAGCTCTTTACTCAGAACTAGTTAATAAGATTCTCAGAATAATGCTAGAACTGGTCACTTACACTGAGTAGAAGATGTGTACCATTTCCTTTGACTAAGCTACAGCTTGAATGTGTTAAGTCTGTACAGAATGCTTGTACATATGTCTAGCTCTGACAGTTCTGAGCCCTTAGATTGATCTGCCTATAATTTGTAATCAATCTGTTCTGATAAACATTAGAGAAGTCTAAAAGTAAGGAGCATACTTTGTCTACAGAAAGTCAGAGCACTAGATTAAGGACTGTCTATAGAAGTGACAGTATATCTATTAGGTCATTAGAGTAATAATGAGTAATGAGCAGGATTTGTAGTAAGAAGCCTTTTCTACAAATCCAGAAGTCACCTTAGAACTCCTAGACCCTGACTATATACTCTAGGATTTTGTAGAGGCCTAACAGTGAATACAGTACTAAAGAGCTATAACTTGGATTTTTTAATAACTACTTTTGATTCAATAGACACTGTAGGATTAGAAGTAAATAAAGTAAGAAAAGTAGAAAAAGTAGAAAAAGTAGAAAAAATAAATTAACAAAATTATTTATTAGAAAGAAAAAAGTTGAAAACAAAAGTATATAGTTCTCCTATTTCTTCTGATTCTTTTGATTCTTCTCTTTGTACTTTATCTGAGTCTAAATCTGTACAATCTGACCTACTACTTCTGTATTCTGAGATCTTAGAACATTCAGAACACTACCTAGCCCTGTTTACTACTCAGTAGTTTGTCTATAGTATTAAGCAGGGATAGTCTCAGCTGAGTTTACAGTTAAGGACATAAGTCTGTCCTTGTTGAAAGAGAGAGGTTAATAAGGAAATGTTGGTGTATATACTTACTCTCTTAGACAACAAGACTGTACAAGCTGTACATTCCCTTCAGAACAAGTAGTAGTTCATCTGAGAACATTCTAGACACTAGCTCCAGATCCCTATCCTCTTAGCTCCCTTCTTAGAATCCTTCCAGATCTGAACAATAGTTCTAGTAGACAGTAGATACACTAGTTTGTATATTAATAAGACCTTTATGTAGGAACACTACCTTCCTACTTAACATGTTCTACTTCTAATCCTAGTATACAATGTAAACAGAACCCTGAACTGGAATGGTTGGATTACTAAGTTTGTCCAACTATGGATGACTATTCAGGATTATAAGGAAAGTATTGAGTTCAGAGTTACTAACCTTAGAAAGACAAACATCTTTATTAGATTCAAATAGCTTAAGACTTACAACCCTACTATTAACTGGTTAGAGTAGACACTCACATTTAATTAGTGTCCTGAGTCTTACAACTACCTTGTACTACTGTTCCAAGTAGATGTGGATACTTCTAATGTTACTAACAGTTCTAATGAAGGTGACTAGTTGTTCTTCTTCAACTAGGATAAATATGTGAATACATATTCTAGTTAAGGCAGAACAGAGTCAATCTAAAGAATGTCTAAGATAGAACCAGTCTGGAACCCTCTCAGAACAACTCTACTCTAGAATATACATAGACTCAGCCTACTAGATTTTGTCTAAGAGTTCCTCAAAGTCTTTAGTGAAGAGGAATTCAACCAGCTTTCTAAACACTGTCTCTAGGACTATACAATTGAATTGAACAAGAGTTTCTAACCTAAGGATTACAAGGTCTACTTACTCAACAGAGATGAGTAGGAGGCACTCAACAAGTTCCTTCAGGAAAATCTTCAGAACAGTCAGATTCAACCCTTAAAGTCCTCTATAGCCTCCCCTTTCTTCTTTGTCAAAAAGAAAGATAAGAAGCTCTACCTAGTCTAGGATTATTATTGTCTTAATAAGGGTACTGTCAAAAACAAGTACCTACTCCCCCTGATTCAGGAGCTCATTAATAAGATGTATACATCCAGGGTTTTCACTAAGTTAGACATTTGATAGGGATACAATAATATTTGGATCTAAGACAGAGATGAGTAGAAGGCTACATTCTAAACTAATTACAGATTGTACAAACTAACTATAATGTTCTTTAGACTAACCAACTTGTCTACAACATTCTAGTCATTCATGAATCACATTCTTACAGACCTGATTGACTCAGAGCATGTTAGTATGTATCTGAACAACATTCTGATCTTTACCTAGACAGTTGAGTACTATTACTAACTAATTCAAGCAGTTCTACAATAGCTCTAAGATAATAAACTGTTCCTCTAAGAAGTAAAGTACTCTTTTGTACAGGAGTCAGTGGATTATCTAAGCTTTGTAATCAGTAGAGGAGAGGTCTGTATGAATCTAGCAAAGGTAACTGTAGTTCAGAACTGGCTACAACCTCAGAACCTGAAACAGGTCTAAGTGTTCCTTAGGTTTGTAAACTACTACTAATGCTTCATTCAAGGCTTCAGTACTATTGCCCAGCCCCTTTATGATCTCACTAGCAAAAATGTTCCTTAGTAATAGGATGATTAGTAGTAGTCTGTATTCAAGTCCCTCAAGTAGGCTATTACTAGTAAGCCTGTATTAGTAGTTCTAACAGTTGTGGACAAGTTCTGAGTTGAAGCCAACTCTTCTGACTTTATAAATGGAGCAGTACTGTCTCAGTTCATTAATAGAAAGTAGTGTTCAATAGTGTTCTGATCAGAATCCCTATCTACAACAGAACAGAACTACCCTATCTATAACAAGGAACTCCTCACAATTGTCTATTCCCTAGAGGAGTAGTGTTAATACCTCCTTAGTACTGTACAGAAGTTTAAGATTTAGAGTGATCACCTTAATCTCTAATACTTCTGAGCACCTCAGAAGCTCAACTGCTACCAAGCCTACTAGATGTTAGAACTGTAGGACTATGACTTTGTACTAACCTACAAACCCAGAATACAAATGACAAAAGCTGATTTACTCTCAAAACAAGTAGGTTATAAAAGGGGGGAGAATGATAACAAAAATCTTGTTCTCCTAGACAATTCCTGTTTTGTATCTAAGACAATCTAAGAGATCTGACTCAAATCCAAGAATGTTGACTTTGTTACCTACATACAGTAAGCTCTGAGACACACACAGGACTGAGTTGTAGTAAAACAGTTAGAGAAGTAGGCTAGGGATTAGGAGGAGGATAAGGATAGATAGGTTTACTAGGAAGGCCAACTGTACATTCTGAAGGATCAGAAGCTGTAGGAGGACATTGTTTAAGCTCATCATAACAATCTAACTATAGGACATCTAGGCTAACACAAAATGCAGGAACTCATTACTTAGAACTACTAGTAGTTAGGAATACAGAGGGAAATCCTAAAGTATGTGACTGGTTGTAATATGTGCTAACAGACTAAGGCCTACTAGACAAGGGTTTGGGCTCCCCTACATCTGTATCAGATCCTGGATCACTCTTAGGAAGAAGTCTTAGTAGACCTGATTAGTGAGCTACCTAAGTCTTAGGGTTACAACACTATCTGTGTGATTGTTAACTAATTCTCCAAGCAAGTCTATACAGTTCTGACCCAGACAGAACTCACTTCTGAAGGTATAGTATACATTTATTAGGATCATGTCTTCTAGTTGTACAGACTCCCTTAAAAGCTCATTCACAATTGTAGACTGTAATTCAAGTCAAAATTCATGTAGAACTTGTATACACTTCTCAGAATTCAAGGGAACCCTTCTACTACCTATCACCTACAGACTAACAGTCAAACTGAGCAAGTCAATCAGGAGATCAAGCTCTACCTCTGAATGTTTATCAATCATTAGTAATTGGATTAGTCTGAATAGTTAGCTCTGACAGAATTCATACACAATAACTAGCAATACTCTACAACAGGACAGTCCCTGTTCTTTCTCAATCATGAGAGACATTCATACTAGGGGACAGTTCTAAACCAGAATAGTAGCTCTGAATCTGTAACAGACTTTGTAGAACAGATACACAGAACTAGGGAGGACACACAAGCTCTTTTAGAGAAGGTAGTACAGGTTATAAAGTAGAACTATGATCAGAAGAAGTCTGTGGCCAAGGATTACTAGCCTAGCAACAAGGTTATACTAGAAGCCACTAATCTGACCTTGGATCACCTAATAAAGAAGTTGGACAATAAGTGCTTCAGACCCTTTGTTATTAAAAAGAAGGTTAGTGCCTCTGTCTACAAACTCTAACTTCTAGCAACATAGAAGTACATACACCCAGTGTTTAATAAGGTTCTGTTGTCTTAGTACTATAATCCTAGTTTTCCTTTGTAACAAAGACCCCCTCTGTCTCTACTAGAACTCATTAGTTCTGAACCAGAATATGAAGTAGAATACATAACAGATATTAAGCTATTGTACAGAAAACTCAAATTCCTGGTTTACTAGAAAGGGTACCTAGTTGAGGAGCATACTTGGGAACCTGCTAAGAACCTTACTCATACTCCTAAGACAATCCAAGATTTCTATCAGCTTCATCCTAGTACTCTGTACAAACTCAGCCTTACAGATTTCCAAGCCCTACTGTTTTAACTTATGCCTGAGCTACTAACCAAGCCCTATATTCACCAATCAGGATGATTGGTTTTAGAGGGGGGGTGATGTTACAATTCTCTGCTCTCATACCTTCAGTTCTGAGGGTTCTACACCCTTCTATACTAGAACTCAGGATTTCTGTCCCTCAGGGGTGCTGTCTATGAACTATATGCATGCTGACTCTTATTCATAATAGAACACTGTATACTGTATTAAATTACAATACTCCACATTACAAACATTACAGAACCTACAGAACAATTGATAATATATATGAATTTGGTCAATATATTATCATTCACAACGAAAATCCTACAAAAATACAACAGTAAGGTATTATTACTTGTTGGATAGGATTAGACAATGAAAGTAAAGGCTATAAAACTTGACACAATAATAAAATCACTATTGAACGAAATATTCAATTTCTCAAAGGTAAACCTCCTCAAATTGAAGGGGAGAAAATAGACAATACAAACAACAATACAAACAAGTGTTTAATAATTAAAAATAACAAAACAGACAATAGAATAATTGTCAGCAACAGTATAGAGGGGACCCAAAGGCTCAGCAAGGGGACCCAGGCTACAACTATCCTACACAACAGAAATACAGAATGCAAGCACCAGAACATAGTCAGAACTTGTGGAACAGGCAGAGAGAGAGAGTGAGACAAGAGTAGAGTATATAGAGTGAGCCTAAGAGTACAGGACTACCTAGAGTAGACAAGATCAAGACTACCTGACCAGTCTGATCTTGTACACCTATATATACTAAACTATACAAGAGTACTCAGGGAGTATGAGCTACTAAGAATGATAAGCCATGAAGAATGAAAGAAAGGAATGTCAAAGATAAAGGTACAAAGAATGAAGGGATGGACAAAGGGTAAGAGACTATAGAATGAACAGAGAATGAAGGGGTGGTCAAAGGAATGGAATGACAAAGTAAGAAAGGGTAGTAGTATAGGTAATATGAATTACTGCTTTGACCTATAATGTAAACAGTAATTTAGTAGATGTTAGATATGCTCTTACACCTCTAAATATAGTTTTATGAGTTTGTTCTGCTATTCTGTTCTGTTGTAGAGTATGATGTACTGTTAATCTTTGTTTTGTTCCTTGTGAATCTAAATATTGTTGAAAATCTTTACTAAGGAATACAGTATTGTTATCACTTTGTAAAAGCTTTATTTTAACTCTGTACTGTGTAAATATTTTGGTTGTCTATTGTATGTATTGTGTATATATGTTAGATTTTGTTTGTAATTTGAGTATTATGCACCAACAAGTAGAATTGTCTACAATTGTTAGTGAGTAGTATATGTTCTTATATGTGTGTAGTTCAATAGGACTAATGATATCAATATGAATAAGATCTCCAAATTGATTTGTAAGAGGAGATTGATGTAGTTTTGGTATTGGTGTATGTTCAATATTTGCTTTTATACATTTAATACATTCTTTTTCTTTGTAGTTCATTATTTTAGTTGATAGTACACTCAGTTGTGTCTTTAATAATTGTTTAATATAATCATAACTTATATGTTCAAAGCATTTATGTATATCATAAATAGATAGTTTGTTCATTGTTTTTAACAAATGATTATTGTACAAAATATACAAGTTATTTCTCAATTGTATATGTCTGATGTATTTGTTACATGGTAATGTTATAGTACAATTATTGTTTGTAAACATAAAAGAATAACCTTCCCTACATAGTAGTGCTTGACTTATGAGGGAAAAGTTCATTTGTAGATAGTAATAGATGTTTTGTAATGTTATGACACTTCTTTCTTGTATATTCTTCAGGATTTCAATATGAATAGATCCAGCTTGATTAAGAGTCATTGTTGATCTATTTGCAATAGTTATGATTGTAGGAGTTATGTTGTGTACATCTGTTAATCAAAATAGATAAGGAGTAGCATGTATTAATGTACTAGAATTGAGTAAATCCATTGTTTGTGTATAGGATTTCTTGTTAGCTATGATTGTATTTGTAAATATGTTAGTACATACCCAGGAAGCATATTGTTCAAATTGTTTGTCCTGGTTGCTTGGAATAAGAGTGTAAGCATTATTGTTCATTTCAACATTGCCTTCCTTTAATTCAACATTGTTTTTGTTTGGGTTTTTAATAATAAATGTGTTTGTTGTGTTTTCTACAGTTTGGTTTGTTTTATACACATTGTTAGCTTGATGTTTGGCATGTGTAAGCTTCATAGCTTCAGTAGGAGGTTTGTAGCATTCCTTAGAGAAATGTACTGTTTTTCTGTAATTGAAACATTTTGCTTTTGTCAGATTGAATAGATTTGGCAGATTGAATTTCCTCTACTTATTGGCTTTATACATTGTATTAGTGTGTACATTATTCTTTGTCCAATCATTAGAATCTTGTACTTGTTTAGCACAGTAATTATTGTAAGCATTCTGTAATGTAAGGATTAGTTACTTTGGTTCAACTTTCTTATGTTCATTGACTGGTTTGCCTTTGTTTTGGGCATTAGTAGATTGTATTATTGTATTCACTATGTGTGTATATTGCTTAGGAGTAGCAAGCAATATTGCTGCTTTGTATGTAGAGTCTTGTGGTGGATCACTGTTAGCAGACAGAGTTGTGTATGCTTCCTCAAGTCTGTCTAATGTATGTCTGAAATGTTTTACATAGTCTCTACAAATAAACAGTGCTGATTCGTTGATAGCCTTTTTATGTACTGTCTAAGGGTTAAAGCATTCTTCAGCCCTTGTGCAGTTGGAATTTTGCGTCGCGCGAGGCTCGAGCGACGAGTACATGCCAAAGCTGAGGACTCAACTTGACTCCTCACAAGCAATGTTAACCTATTATGAGATGATTAGTTTATCAACAGACGAACCATGAGACAATGACTTCATAATGTCTCAGTTAGAATACATACAATATAAGGACGAGAGACACTGAGCAGTCAATCATCACCTCACCCCTTGTCTATGTGTGCCCCTCTTAAGTTTTCCCTCTCAACAGGTTATGAGCCTTGAGCTCCCTGCATACACACATCCATTGTACACTTTAAACCCTTTACTCACATACATTTGTACACATTTGCATCATGGTTCCCCCACATACAGGTACATGCTGTAAACCAGCCAATGTACCTAAATACTTTGGTCAAAACATTACAATGCTTAAGACTGAAGCAAACTACAAGATGTGGCACTACTACATTGTTTCTAGTGTCACAGCTATGTGCTTCAAACACTTACTAAAGGATGAACCACAGAACAAAGTTGAGAGGGAGATAGCTAAGGCTATTCATGCATACATAGTTAATAACATTGCTAACACAATATTGGCAAACTATATGCACTTCAATATGTCTATCCCTCAATTAATGAAAGTGCTTCAAGTTGTCGCCGATCAATGATGCACTGAGCATTTCCGCATTGGGAAAACATAATTGATGCTCTGAGTCTCCGCCCAATGCTCATTCTACTGCTTTCCGGAGACCGTACCGGAACGACGAGCCTCAGATGACAAGGCACCGCGATCTGAAACGAAATCCGTAACACCGATCCTATTCTTAGCATCAACATGCTTCTCTCAACTACAGTACTGCTATAAAAGGCATCTTTATGTGCGACTTCCTGTTACGTATTTTGGCTCCCGACTGATGCCATCCTCTTGCATCGGTCGAACGCAGCGATGAGTCGACGCCTGCGAGATCTACTGGAACATACCAGTAGCTGCGTCAGAACTGCGCTCATGGCTCTGCGATCTGACCGGAGGTTCTGGCACTCCGCATCCGGTACGGAATGAAACCCTTGAGCGGCGAGTTTTCGGTCACCGAGTGAAGTACGTATTATTCACGCACGCACCGCCATGGGCAGTATAAAAGGCCACTCTGTTATCCTCAGCGCTCAGAGACTGCTACACCAACTCATTCATATTCACTGAACTGCTCAAGTCTAACGCAAGTGCTAAACGTACTCTTTCTATGTCGACTGCTATCGTCCTCCCGCCGCTCAAGTCCTGGGCCGAGCAGCGCCTAACGGCAATCATATCCGCGAAGACGCAAGCTGACTTCGACCAGGCATTCGACAACTTCGTTGCAAAGAACGTTAAAGAGATCCTGTTCAATGGCGAACGCCTGTCCCGCGACCAATACAAGGATAAGTTGCAGAGAGAGCGTTTCGATGAGGTCGGCGCCGTTGTGAAGGTGTTGAACTCGGTCCAGGCTCCGGTTCTCGGTACGCAGGAGACGCAGGTACTTACTACTTCACATAAAGATGTCAGTAATGAGTCGCTGAGTAGCAAAATTATTTTAGCAATCTGGGCTCGTAGGCCTATTCTACGATGCAACATACGTGGAAGGCATTCGTATCCGTGATGCGGCAGTCGAGCACTCTGTGCAGTCATCTCTCAACGTTCGGTATGTCCATTTCCGACTAGTCATCCGATGAATGACGCTAATGCAATGCACCTCATTCTATTTCCGCAACAGAGTCGAACAGGATGACACCATTCCGCTTCCGCCGGCGGGCATACACGGCTTCGTCGAACGCCGTCGCGTATTCTCGTTGAACCAGGTTTACGTTGATCAGAAAGGCGAGATCAGTGGCATTACGGGCTCTTCCTAATTGCGCGCACGTAAACGTGCATTCCACGATGGTCATGGCTTGTCCCCTGTTGATGGATCACTCCTTCTATGACATGCATTTTGTACAAATATGTAAATAATTGTGTAAACAACTACTAGTCGTTGTAATTTTATGTCGAAATACTGCTAGATAGTAACAGTTACGATAAACCAGTAATACAGTCCGATCTGATGCTCTGCCTTGCTCCTTTCTGTATCTGAAATTACATCTACCATAACTTTATGACGTCAGATTTTTTCCGAAAACAATGCACCAAGGTGCATATATGGATTGGTGCCGTTCTGTAGTCCTCCATTGTATAGCGTTGGTCAACGACCCTTCGTTGAGCCTCGTCCAGACTCTTTCCTCGCAGTTTGTCGTGCTGGTTCCAAAAACTACGGACAGCAATGTAATAATAAATTAGCACTGCATATATGCACATTTCAGCAAGAGCGACTGATATACCTTATGAGTCAGTGCTCTCCTTGCAGAAAATCTGTCATACGTATCAGCTTCTAAACACCCCATCACGAATTCTTTTGCTATTATTGTCAATCTAATGAGCCTAAACAGAACTATTTCTCATTCTTACATGATAGATATCTCTCTCTCACCATCTGGATTCTCATGCCAGACTCTCCCTCGACAAGCTTTATCACTAATCATACCCTTTATTCGGTCCATTTCTCGGCCCTGGGAAAATAACTCTGGTTTGTAATTTCCATCAAACACCGGAACCCCAGATATAAGTAAATGTGCGATTGCACTATAAAATTCAAATGCAATTTTTTAGTCCTTGTCCCTGTCAGCAGTATTCTATGAACCTATTACCCTATTGACCATATGTCCACCTTTTTATCATATTTATACCCAGAGAATATCTCAGGTGCTTGAAATCCTGTTGACCCAGCTACATCATATTTTTCTTCTTTGCTTGCAGTATCAAAGGCACTACAAGGGATAGGAATATTTAGTAAACAAGTCATTCAGACATTTATAGCATACATTCCAAAATCACAAATAACTAGAGTTTTTGAGTTTAAGAACAAAATATTGTCAGGTCTAAGAAGTGTAAGCACAAAGTTTGAATAGCACTTGACATATTCATTTACTTTAGATCTCTGTGGACAATATTCTTGATATGTAGATACCTCACGCCTTGTACCACCTGTCTGTATAGTTCAAATTTCGAACCTATCAGCAGGAATTGACAAAATCCAGAACGAATTTTAGTACCTCAATATTAACTTTGCTTTTTCAACTGGTACAGGATATTTGATTTTTGCTGGGAGAGAGCCTTCAGCCAGATCACAAATCTGAACAATATATTCATCATTCTCATAAGCAGTATAGCACTTCAGCTGTATAATCATAGATAATTAGTCTCATGATTTGCAGTAATATTCACAAGTTGCATAATATTTGTAGTAAGTTAATAAACGCACCACATTAGGGCTGCCTACAGTGGTTGCATCCTTCTTTAACTTCAATGCCATTTCTGCTTCGTGTCTTCCTGCTGATTTTATGTTTTGTGTCTTCCATTTTGCAGTCACTTTAGCTGCAATTCGTCCACTCGAACCATTATCATTAGTAACTTGCTATACATTTAATATACTAAGCAAGCTACAACTTCGAAAGAAGAAGACAAGTAAGGAATACATGCACTCACGTAGACAGATGCATAGCTACCGGCACCAATCCACTTCAATTTTAATTGCTTAGGCGGAATTATCCATTTGGGATCTATTTTTGACTCGCATTCTCTTGGCATAACAAGGGGTTTTAGATTTTCCAATTTTGTCAGACTGTTAGACATGGCTACATCTGTATGACCTTAGTTTGTGAATATAGTGGTTGTGTACGATCGCATGGGGTGCTATATACACTGCAAAGTTGACCTGCTGATGGTAGAACAGTACCTTTGCACTATGTAGTTATACATAGACACAGGTATTTCTTGGCATCTATTTCCACCTATGGCATATTGTGGCAAAGTTAGATATGAAAAGGGTAAATTCAACAATCAATTGGCATTTAATTATCTGCCGGCTTTCTGAAGCACGGAATGATACGGGTACAGGAACTAGCAATAAGAAAATCAGTAACATGACATGCATTGATTGCATTGGGTATTTCATTCCTTGGTAGTGTATGAGTGCATATTTACTTTCATTCACAGTGAATGGAGGCAAAAAAAAAATTCTTTAGTATATGCAGTACTTGAGAATCGGTAAAGATCAAGGGAGATACACATGTTCATTTTGACAATGAATACTCTTTCATGACAGGTGTTGGCATAGTACAAATGAACAAGATACATGTAAAGCGCTCAAAGAAACCACAATCTTTCTCCTTACGGGTTGTACAAAGTTCTAAGAACTCGTATTTCTTACCTTATTTTCCTTCTACTTGTATTCGAACTGCTTTCCCTCGTTTGCCTCAAGAGTTTGGAACGCAGGTCGTCCGGCAAACCAACCAATATATGATGTACCGACAGTTTTGTAGGTATCAAGAGCTTCTTCGTCACCAATCCTGACAGTCTTGCCTGCAGCGTCTGCTACGAGTTGGACTTGGCATGATTTCTCGAGTGCAGTGAAGTAGTGCAAAGTTGCTTCGATGGAGGCTGTGGCGACAAGTAGACCATGGTTCTGCAAAATAATTATTTAGCAACGTCATTCCATTTAGTGCTACAATCGATACATACCTGAAGAATAATTGCCTGCTCATGGAGAGTTAGCCAACATTATTTTCGAGCTTTGTAAATTTTATTTTATTGCTTGCCTTTTTGTTTCCAAGGGTCTCAGCGATCCTCCTCCCTTCCTCCTCCGCAAGTACAACACCATTAAACTGTTTATACACCGCATGGTCCTTATAAAACGCACACGAATCCTGTGTGATCATATCCAGCTCTTTGCCCAGCGTCGAGAATGCGCGTCCATAGATAGAGTGCGAATGTGCTGCACATAGGACGTCCGGACGTGCCGTAATGTATGGCAAAGGCGGCGGTGTTGAGGAGCCGCGACGGTCCGGACTCGTCGAGGATCGACCCCACATGATCGACGAGGAGCAGATCTTCGGGTTGAATGAGTGAGAAGTGGAGACCGAAGGGATTCACCCAGAAGCAATCGGTCTTGATCGGATCCTAAATTATTCATTAAATACATTAAATAAGAGTATTTCGGCGCCAGTGAATAAAAGTAAGAATAAACCATAAAGAAATTCGAATATGACCAAATGCCGAAAAATTGGGAAAAAGTCAAAACGAATCAAATAACAATGGAATGAGACGTACTCTAACAGTAATATGCCCTGCTACGCCCTCATCATACCCGAGCTTTCCAAATATTCTAAATGCCTGTGCAAGGCGGAACTTGAGATATGCCCTCTCCTTCAGTGTGTCTTCGAACTTGGGCGGGCGTGGGAACGCGGTGCGCGAACGCTGACTCATCGTCGAGTGGTCGTGGTGTATTTCGTCTTGAACCTTCGGCTTGCTGTTAACGTTGTTGCCATTAGCAGCGGGTTCTGTGACCGTGGACGTCGCGACAGGGGCCATGTTGGATGGTGGGCACTGCTAGTAGTACTATGCTTCAACGGAGGGACGCGGACACATTCAGAGGTGAGAGATAAGGTCAAGAGCTGTAGATATACGTACTATTTGCATACTAGGTCACAGGATATCCACCCAGAAGTGTGGTCCGTCTATTCTGTTGCGCAATTGAAGGCGAGAAGGACATGGAGCGCTTAATAACTGCTCATCTGCATCAACTCAGGGCCGAAACCTCCGTAACTTACAGACTAATATAAATTCTTATTCTCCTTTCTACTACGTCTTGCGAACTCATCTTCCGTTTCTGACTCCTTATTGCGAAAGAAAAATATGAATTCTGGTCTAGTGGCATCTGTAGCTGTTAGCGACAGTGTAGAATCTTCACAGCTTCCCTCTGTCATTTTATTCTCTCAATTTCAATCTCATTCCACAGAAGCACAGAAGCGACGATAGTGAGTGTGGTGTGAGTTTCAGTACAGATATAAAATATTGAAAAGGCATGAATAGCCGCTCTAGACTTATTTTAAGTCATAAGACATACACCATAAGGAGACGCAGCCTTACACACTCAAAACATTGAAGTAAGGTTAAATACCATAACGAAAACATAACCAATCACAAGCTCATTTTCATTAGCGTTAAATTTTTCTCGCTTCTTTTTCCTACTTGTTCAACTCAAACTGCTTGCCTTCACTCGCCTCAAGAATCTGGAACGCAGGTCGACCACTGAACCAGCCACCATATGGCGTACCGACAGTTTTGTAGGTATCAAGAGCTTCTTCGTCGCCGATCTTGACAGTCTTGCCTGCAGCGTCTGCTAAGAGTTGGACCTGGCATGATTTCTCGAGTGCGATGAAGTAGTGCACGGTTGCTTCGATGGAGGCGGTGGCGACGAGTAGACCGTGGTTCTGCGAAAAGAGATGTAAGCCAACTTTTCCTTTCGTTTACTACAAACGATGATTACCTGAAGAATAATCGCCTATGTACGTCGAGACAATTAATCTTGACAATGTTCAATTAATTATGTATTATTTCTACACTAACCTTTTTGTTCTGAAGAGTTTCAGCAATCCTCCCCCCCTCTTCCTCCGCAAGCACAACACCATTAAACTGTTTATATACTGCATGGTCCTTATAAAACGCACACGAGTCCTGAGTAATCATGTCCAGCTCTTTACCCAGCGTCGAGAATGCACGTCCATAGATAGAGTGAGAGTGCGCTGCACATAGCACATCTGGGCGTGCCGTGTGAATTGCGGAATGTATGGCAAAGGCGGCGGTGTTGAGGAGCTGCGACGGCCCGGATTCGTCGAGGATTGACCCCGCATGGTCGACGAGGAGTAGGTCTTCGGGTTGAATGAGTGAGAAGTGAAGACCGAAGGGGTTTACCCAGAAGCAATCGGTCTTGATCGGATCCTACAATAGTAATTATGTCGCTGGTGTCAGTAAGTTTGTAAAATGAGCCATGAATAGTAACAACATAACCAAGTGCACAGACAAAAAATGAAATGGAATCGAAACAAATTAAAGAATGATAGAATGAGACATACTCTAACAGTGATGTGCCCTGCTACACCCTCATCGTACCCCAGCTTTCCAAAGATTCTAAATGCCTGTGCAAGGCGGAACTTAAGGTACGCCCTTTCCTCCAGTTTACCCTCGAACTTAGGCGGACGTGGGAACGCAGTCCGCGAACGCTGACTCATCGTCGAGTGATCATGGTGTACCTCATCGTCTACGGCCTTCGGCTTGCTGCTAACGTTGTTGCCGTTGGCAGTTGGGTCTATGACGGTGGACGTTGCAACGGGAGCCATTGTGAATGGCAGGTGATACTAGGGGTCCTACTGTTCGACGGGGGAATAACACGTTCAGAGATGAGAGATAAGGTCGAGAGCTAGGTATATGTACTATTTTGTACCGCGGGTCACAAGATATCCCATCCAGAAGAGTAGTTTGCCCTAATCGAAGACGAGAAGAACATGGGCCGTCCAATTGACTGATCATCTGCATCCACCCAGGGCCGAAACCGCCGTAACCTTCGAGATGCGATAAATCAGTCTTGCTCCCACTGCCGTCTTGAGAATGTATCTCCATTTTTCGGATTTATATTGCATGAATATGTAATAAAGAGGCAGAATACCAGGTTAGCACCTGTATCGAGCGAGTAAGAGATGCACCATGCCAACAGAGACCTGCACTGATCCATCCAAAGTGCACGTCACGTGGTCTCTTTGCTCATGAGTCAGGATTATTGGGCTCATGAATTAAGTATGATGAAAGGTCTGCCTTGGACTCTACAGTTCTGGTGCTGCTACTGGACATGGAAGAACAGAAAACACACGATCCTACAGTGTGAATGAGTACAATATCTTCTCCTTGGCCCTTTTTGATCGGTCAGTAGATAAGACAAGGAAATCCTATAAGAAATGAATGGAATATTATTGATAATAACAAGAAAAGAGTGCATTCATGGTCTATAAGGACAAAACGGGGCAAGATTAATGAGGGTAGTGTTCCTGTGGAGTCTCTAGTTCTTAACCGGGCGTTTCTGATTGATTGAGCATAGCAGATCTCTGTGTGTGCACACATCTGATTCAAATTATTGTCCGGCAAGGTAGGGCACAGAATATGGCATATATGCACCATACATCACACCCGAGAGTATAGAGGGTATGAAATTAGATTGTTATTAATTTAAGTGTATTATACTGCAATTGCAACACTTATTACAATTTAAAACAAACAGCGAGCAAGATTCTGGTGAGTGAGACTAGTGATGACAAGCCACTCTGACCGAGGAATTAATGGTGGTATCACTGAGGTGGTACAAAGCATTCCTGCCACCGTTCGCCAAGAGCGGCATTCGCAAAGTCCAATTTTGTTAAGAATGCACAACTGAACAATGCAGAATTTTGAGGTCTCCAGAGTGTGGTCCATAGGTCCGGCGGAACCAATACAAGTAACTCTCCATTGTGTCTATGTATCCATCCATCTTTGTCCATTGTCCAGTCAAAGATGGGATCTATATTGAGAGCAGAGTCAGAGGCACGGCATCAGACATTGACCACTGAGCAAGGAAGTTGTCGACACACCTTCTACATTCCACATTCTGATCGTACAATCCCAGGAGCCAGAGACGACGCGGTTACCATCAGGCGAGAATGCAGCGGAACTAACAGTTGACATATTCAAAAGGCGCAAATATAGCTTGTCCACTCTCCGAGTCCCATACTCGGACAGTCCTGTCAGCGGAACCCGAAACGACGCGTGCTCCGTCAGGAGAGAAGGCAACTGACCAAATCCGACCTGTATGCCTTTCAAAAGGCCCAACCACGACCCGTCCATGCTTGATGTTCCAGATCAAGATGGCTCCGAAATCAGAACCAGAAGCGACACGTGTACCGTTGGGTGAGAAGGCCGCTGACCAAACGCACTCTTTGCGTCCTTTCAAGGGCCCGGAAATGATTTCGCCACTTTCGACGTCCCAGACTATGATTGTATTGTCATCAGAGCCAGAGACCACGCTTCTCCCATCAGGAGAGACGGCAACGGAGACGACCTGGCCTTTATGAGCTTTGAAAGGACCCGAAATCGTCTTTCCGCTCTCGACATCCCAGATTCGGAGTGTTTTGTCACCGCAGCCTGACACAACACGGGACCCATCTGGCGAGAAGCAGACAGACCAGACATATAATGTATGTCCTTCGAAAGGACCGTAAACTACATTTCCACTTTTGATATCCCACACAAGGATAGTCTGATCCAAGGAGTCAGAAGCAACACGTTTTCCATCCGGCGAGAAGGCGACGGAGTAGACATAGTCTGAGTGTCCTTTAAAAGGCTCTGAGACCATGCGTCCACTTTCAGCGTCCCATATTCAAATCGTGTCATCAAATGAATCCGACACAACGCGTTTGCCACTAGGAGCGAAAGCAACACAAGTTACTCCAGTAGTGTGCCCTTCAAAATCCCCAGAAGCGGTTTGTACACTTTCGGCATCCCAGATTCGGATCGTATAATCGCTGGAGCCAGATACAACGCGGGTCCCGTCAGGAGAGAATCCAACACACAGTACGACTGCAGTGTGCCCTTCAAAAGGATGGGAAACGAGCTGCCCACTCTCGACATCCCAGATTCGAACTCTACCATAGTACAATCCGGAGACAATGCTTTTGCCATCGGGTGAGAAAGCGACGGAAGTTATTCCACGTGTATGTTCTTCAAAGGGCTTAGAGATACATTCCCCGCTCTGAGTGTGCCAGATTCGGATCCTGCCGTCCTCAGAGCCTGAGGCGATGCGTGTACCGTCACGCGAGAAAGCGACTGACTGGACGCTGTCTGCGTGACCTTCAAGAGGACCACAAATGGTCTGTCCACTCTTGAAGTCCCAGATTCGAATTGTCTTGTCCGTCGAACCAGAGACAATACCCTTTCCGTCGGAAGAGAGTGCAATAGAAAGCACAGCGCCTTCATGCCCCTTGAAACGCTTGACGGCCTGTCCGCTCTCAACATGCCAGACTATAACAGCCTTGTCAGCTGCTCCAGAGACGACACGCTTCCCAAATTCGAATTGTCTTGTCAATGGAGCCGGAAACGACGCGAGTGCCGTCTGGCGAGAAAGCAACAGCTACTTGCTTTTCATGCACTTCAAATGGACTGAAAATGACTCGGCTCCCACTTCAGCGTCCCAAACTCGGATCGTTCCATCATTGGAACTGGAGGCAACACGACTACTGTCGGGTGAGAATATAACAGAGACGACAGCTTCCTCATGCCCTGTGAGCTCCTTCAAGAATGGCGACTGTTGCCTTACGCCCATCTGCTCTACTTGGACCATAGGTAGATCAGGCTTCAAGTAATGTGCTATAAACTTCGACTCCGTCGATGCAAACCGAAGCGCAGATACATAGATATGAGGCGTGGACTGTGAAATAGGTAGTGAAAACCGAGTAACCATTCTACGTGCGTCTCTAAGAAATGATAGAACCTTCGCATTGTGGGACTAGTCCACGGACCGAATAAGCTTCAGTTCCAATGATGCACCCGTGTACTCACCGAGACCCAATTCATGGCATGAAGAAATGTCTGACTGACAATGTTGACCTTTCCCAAGAGACTCGTCACCTCGAGCCAGTAGAGCAAACGTTCATTAAGGAACTCTGATAGCTTATCTGGCAACACGTGTGAGAACGGAGTCCCGTGTAAGTGTTGACTCCAAAAGAGACATGCGTAATCCAAGTGAAGAGGAATGTTCGCCTTGATACGATCCGGAAGGTCAGGGATTTGATCGTTAGGGGTATATGATGTCTCTATGCTACACATGTTAAACCGCAGCATACCTCTCATGACATCGAAGCATCGCGAGGCAACGTACTCCTTTTGAGACTCGATGTCGATGTGCCAAGGGTCAAATTCGCTCTCGCGCACTAATAAGTAGTCGCGGAAGGAAGTATGGCAGAAACGGATAGGAGCTCCAGGGATGTATACAAGCACGGACTGTAGGCGAGAAAGAATAAGGCGTGATGGTTTGTCATCCGGATACCCGAGAAGCGCGTCAATTGTATAATCCGACAATGGTGCCTTGCCAAGGAGGATGAAGCTAAGAATCTGCGAAAATCGGGCCTTGGATGCTACCTCGTCGAACGAGATACTGGACCCTCTCAGGACGGAGTCGTACAGTTGGTTAAGCCCAGATAAACTCTTCGACTTTGCTGTCAGTTCATGCAGTTTTCCGGACGGGTCGTCGCAATCTACCAATTTCACTGCAGTCGAAGCCTATATGAACAGTCCACCAGTCGCATCTCCAAGACAATCCATTTTCCATTCCCAATCATCCGTGATCTCCAGCAGATTCTTTGCGAATACCTTACACATCTCGTCCTTGCATGTTGTCGAATCTTGTCACAGCTCAACGGCGTGGATGCATCCGGGCTGGAAATTAAGTGCTCGATCGATGTCCAGCTCCTTTCTACTCGTAATGAGAAATCGGAAATTCTTCGGAAGAACGGGTAGTCCTTCTCGGAAGAGTTCCAATAAGCCTTGTCGACTCTTCTCTGTCCCGCATTCATCTAGTGTGTCGAGGAAATGACGACTGGTCCCTGCATGGCCTCTGAACAAGTGGGTCATTGATAAGACTCTCAAATTGGACAGTCCCCGAAGCCTGAGCGATATCGCTATCCTGCTCGATGGATCCAATCACATGGTCAGCAATCGAGGAGTCAAATGAGGCGAGCTTGTAAGCAAGCATGCGAATGACAGAGCCAGGCTCACTCTTTCCTCGTTGAAAGAAAAGATGGGCACCAAGACGGGATGTGACACGGAATCATCGTGCTCACTGTGCCTTTGCCAGATCCTGCAACAACGTACAACCAAAACACATTTTGATCCGATCCCGATGCTACCCACCCCACAATCTCGTCAAGAATAATTTCGCACGTTCCGGGAAGGCATTGCGGTCGATCAAATGTACTCACCTCGTCCGGATTGAGTCGGCTTTTCAGAACTAGTGTCCTAGACTCAGCTAAATTCATAAACCGGAACGAGACACGAAAATACGCACACAGTGCATCAACTTTGGAAGTGATCCGTGATGAGACAAACGCAATATGCAGGGTTGTTTAATTGATGTCCTGAGTGCCTCCAGGGCCTTTATGTATCCATTGACGATTGTATCAATGTTTAGCATGGACATTCGTCCTGATCTACAATAAGGTGACTGTAAACGTCATGTGGATATTGGACTTACTTGCAAACTTGTGGCATGCATATTCTTGAATAAACAGAGAGCACTCATTGGTTTGCTTCAAGAGTTGAAGTATCGTAGTCTTGAGCCTTTTCGTTTTTTCTCGGAGTGAACTAGCTTGTTCTACGAAATCAAACGCATCCCTCATGGCGTGTACAAGCTCAATGACTTCTTTTCAACTTCAAACTGCTGCTTGACGGTCTGTGAATGACATCAATTTCAGTCGAACGCTACGCTCCTGGACATACCTTGTACTGTACAGTGCAGAGGCCAGCTGCCAGGCGAAGTTGACATACGGGTGGATCTAGCTCTTCTTAGCAACTACGAAGATAATGCAAGAATCGAATACGAGCTTACTCGCGATAACGTGTCCATGGCGCGAACGAACATATTCAGTTTTGAGACGAGAGCTCCTACAGAATCGTACAGGTCGGCATGTCCTGCAAAGTGATCGATGGTGGCATTAACAGCCGTAACAGGACCAAACTCGGAAGCAGCTGCCGAGGTCGAAATTCCATTCTGTTGGATTGCATGCTTGGCAGCGTCGATGTTAAGGCCGGCACCTGCCATCGAATCGGCGACCTCTAGACGCAGATGGAGGACTGCAATGATAATCATCATCTCCCATTCGACCCTGAGGAGGAAATGGAGGCGGCGAATACCTACTGTATCTGCTCTAAGCTCTCCCTCTCCCTCTGGTCTCTGTTACACACCTGCTCCCGCTCATGCACCCTATCTCACACCCGTTCACAATCCTCCCAACCTCGATCCCTGTTTTCCTCCTGTCCCCTCTCTCCGAACCCGCTCTATACACTCTGCAAGAGGTAGTCGAGGTGGCGAAGACGGAGCCTGCCTTCTCCGTAGATGTCGCTCGTAACGCACGTGATCCACTCGGACAGATGAACCCCTCATCCTGCGGCTGATTCCTGCCTGGTTCTTGTGCCCCTCCTGCAATCGTCGGCGACGCAGCCGAACTCGAAGGTGGCAGGTCCGAAGGCGTGCTCGATCCAGACTTCAAAGATGATGACGGTGGACCAGGTACGTAAGACAAACTGTGGGTCGGTCACGGGACGAGGGCAAAATCTCTTCGACTTCAGTGTGCAGCAGCTTGCAATTTACTGTATTACCTTGGCAGAGTAGCGAGTCCATCTCGGAACGAACGTGATAGGAGTAATCCTACCCGAACCAAGTCTCACTGTTTGTGGATTTGAAACGTAGTCGAAGAAGCAGGTGCAGAAGGATCCGTACCCGAAGACGACTTTGTCTCTAAGACACTTTGACAGTGGAGTTGGTAGTAGTGTGTTTGTGATTTCTCTGTCTTCTGGTTGCAGAGTAGTCAGACGCTCTTTATATGGGCAATTAATCGACGCGATTCTCAACCGCCTCGCACTTGGGTAACGTATTATGGTGCAAAGTCTCCTCAACTAGAAGCTGAACAGGTACTTGAGGTGAGAGCTGGGTTGTACTTACTGAGGGACTGTGAGTCCCTTCTATCTGTATATCACATGCTCAGATTGTACCCAAGTTGAATAAAGCACAGAATGGAACAGACGTAGCACAGAGGAATGTGGATATAGGCTTCACATCCAACTCATCCACCTTCTACGACTTCTGGAAATGTAATGGCGAGACAGGTGCAACAGGACTCGCCAATTCCAACGACTTAACCTTAGCAACAGCCATCTCCCTCTGCTTCTTCCTCTACTTATAATCCACCATCGAGCTCCGAGTCTTCTGCAGTTCAGGTGGCAAAGAGGAAGCCGGCGTACTACACTCTCTACCAGCTCCCGAACCTTGAAGAATGTGAGCATCAGATACGTGCTCGTATTCGTTATCAGAAGAACCAGTTAACAGTAGAGGCGTCGGCCTAGTCTAAGCAGACGAAGAACCAACAGGCATAGTCAGAGAAGGCGCACAAGATATCTAAGATGAGCTGGGTTAGATTATTAGTTCTCGACTTAGCGTCTATGGTAGATTGAAAATAACAGAACTCTCCATATGTGTATATTTCATTCAAATTACTGTCCATTGACGTAGTGCACAGACTACTATATATGCACCGTGCACTGCAGCCAAATGTATAGAAGGTTCAAAGTCAGTTTGATGCTGTTGATTTGAGTGTATTATACAACAGTTATTGCATTCTATAAGGAACAGCAAGCAAAGCTCTGGTGAGTGAGGCTAGTGATGACATGCTGCCTTGATCAAGGGATGAGATGGTGTTATCACTGGGATGGTTCAAAGCATTCCTGCCACTGTTCACCAAGAGCGGCATTTGTGAAGTCCAGTTTTGTCGAGAATGCGCAACTGAACATTGCAGTACTTTGAGGTCGCCACAGTGTCGTCCGCAGGTCAGGCGGAACCCACACAAGTAACTCTCCATTGCGCCCATGTATCCATCCGTCTGTATCCATTGTCCAGTCAAAGCAAGGGTCTACATTGAGAGCAAGGTCGGGGACTCAGCATTAGACATTGAACTAGTGAGCAGGAGATTGTCACCACACCTTCTACATTCCATATTCTGATTGTGCGATCCCCAGAGCCAGAAACAACACGTTTACCATCCGGTGAGAATGAGACAGACTCAACAGTTCCTGTATGCCCTTCAAAAGGTGCGAAGATGGCCTCTCCACTCCACGCGTCCCAGACTCGGATTGTCCTGTCCTCGGAACCCGAAACGATGCGTGCCCCGTCAGGGGAGAAGGCAACTGACCAAACACTGTCTGTATGCCCTTCGAAAGGCCCAGCCATGACCTGCCCATTCTCGACGTCCCAGATCAAAATGGTTCTGTCCCAAGAACCGGAGACAATGCGTGTGCTGTCAGGCGAGAACGCTACTGACTCGACCCGATCTTTGTGTCCTCTCAAGGGCCCAGAAATGATTTCGCCACTTTCGACGTCCCAGATTATGATTGTTGGGTCGTCAGAGCCAGAGACAACGCTTCTCCCGTGAGGAGAGAAAGCAACAGAGAAAACAGGGACTGAATGCCCTCTGAAAGGACCGGAAATCGCCTTTCCGCTCTCGACGTCCCAGATTCGAACCGTGCTGTCACGGGAGCCGGACACAACACGTGTCCCGTCGGGCGAGAAGCAGATGGAGTTGACAGATGACGTATGTCCTTCGAAAGGACCGGAAACCATATTTCCGCTTTCGGCGTCCCACACGCAGATCGTACAATCCTCGGACTCGGAGCGAGAAGCAACACGCCCTCCATCCGGCGAGAACGCGACAGGGTAGGCAGTGCTCGAGTGTCCTTTGAAAGGCCTTGAGAGCATGCGTCCACTTTCAGTGTCCCATATTCGAATTGTAAAATCATGTGACCCAGATACAATACGTTTGCCATTGGGCAAGAAAGCAACACAACTTACTGTATCTGTATGCCCTTCGAAATCTCCAGAAACGGTCTGTACACTTTCGGCGTCCCAGATTCGGATCATGTTGTCCCATGAGCCCGAGACGACGCGGCTACGCGTCGGGAGAAAATGCAACAGACATAACACTGTGAGTGTGCCCTTGGAAAGGACCAGAAACAACCCGCCCGCTTTCAACGTCCCAGACACGAACCGTGTTGTCGGCGGAACCGGAGGCGACGAGTTTACCATTAGGTGAGAAAGTGACAGACGTTATCCCATTGGTATGTCCTTCAAAAGGCCCGGAAATACAATCACCACTCTCAGCATCCCAGATTCGAATCGTGCAGTCTCCAGAGCCTGAGACAATAGGTGACTTCAATTAATTGGTAGGAGCACTTGTAGGACAGTTGGAAAATTTTGGGGTGGCTTGGCAAAGTGGACATACCTTAATATATACCAAATAGAGATGTAAATCTGTGCAACTCTCTACAAGTGTCTGCAAGTGCTCAAACCCACTTGTTAGCACTTGCAAACGTGTCAGAGTTTGAAACAAAGAAATGTCTGACTACAACCTAACAAAAATCATGAGTAACATGACATGGGCATTAAATGTCAATCTCTGCAAGTCCAGCTCTTCAATTTTGAGAGACTTGCATAACTCTTGGCATCTTAACTCTAAATTGCTAAAGCCCTTCTACAAGTGTCTCTACCAATTAATTGAAGTTGCCTACTGTTAAGAGAGAAAACTTAAGGGGGGCATGCATAGACAAGGGGTGAGGTGACAATTGACTGCTCAGTGTCTCTCATCCTTATATTGTATGTATTCTAACTGAGACATTATGAAGTCATTGTCTTGTGGTTTGTCTGTTGATGAACTAATCATCTCATAATACCTACTCTTGTTAGCACTTGCAGACATGTCAGAGTTTGAAATAAAGAAATGTCTGACTACAACCCAACAAAAATCATAAGTAATGTGACATAGGTATTAAATGTCAATCTCTGCAAGTCCAGCTCTTCAATTTTGAGAGACTTGTATAACTCTTAGCATCTTAACTCTAAATTGCTGAAGCCCTTCTACAAGTGTCTCTACCAATTAATTGAAGTTGCCAACTTGTAGAAGGGCTTTAGCAATTTAGAGTTAAGATGCTAAGAGTTATGCAAGTCTCTTAAAATTGAAGAGCTGGACTTGTAGAGATTGACAACAAACAATCAATCAACAAGCAGATATATTAACTAAAGTACTACATGTACCACAAGTCAAACATCTTACCAGTTTACTCAGACTAGTAAGAGTTTGAAGGAGAGTATTATAAGATGATTAGTTTATCAACAGACAAACCACAAGACAATGACTTCATAATGTCTCAGTTAGAATACATACAATATAAGGATGAGAGACACTGAGCAGTCAATTGTCACCTCACCCCTTGTCTATGCATGCCCCCCTTAAGTTCTCCCTCTCAACAGGTTATGAGCCTTGACAGACACAGACAGTATGATGTAAGAAGGGCATTGTACAATATTAGGATATACATTTTACTTGAGTGATTCATTAGTTTTGTGGTCAAGTAAAAGACAAACACTGGTGGCAAATTCAATGTATGAAGCTGAATTAATAGCTCTTACAAGAGGAACACAGGAAGCAATCACACTTACTCATTTAGCTGAAGAGATTCTGCAGGTCTCTGATGCACCAATTAATATCTATTGTGATAACAATACTGTTATACAAACAGTTACATTGGACAAACTCAAATATTTGGAACAAACAAAGCATTTAGATCATAAGAAAGATTTTATTAAATGCTACATTGAGTTAGAGTACATAAATGCAAAATACATACAAACGAACAATCAATGAGCAGATATATTAACTAAAGCACTACATGTACCACAAGTCAAACATCTTACCAGTTTACTCAGACTAGTAAGAGTTTGAAGGGGAGTATTATGAGATGATTAGTTCATCAACAGACAAACCACAAGATGATGACTTCATAATGTCTCAGTTAGAATACATACAATATAAGGACAAGAGACACTGAGCAGTCAATTGTCACCTCACCCCTTGTCTATACATGCCCCCCTTAAGTTCTCCCTCTCAACACTCTGCCTGTTCTGTAAGTTCCAACTATGTTCCAGTGCTTACATTCTGTATTTCTGTTGTGTAGGATAGTTGTAGCCTGAGTCCCCTCACTGAGCCTTCAGGTCCCCTCTACACTGTTGCTGACACATTGGCTGGTTTACAGCATGTATCTGTATGTAGAGGAACCATGATGCAAATGTGTACAAATGTATGTGAGTAAAGAGTTTAGAGTGTACAGTGAATGTGTGTATGTAGGGAGCTTAAGGCTTATAACCTGTTAAGAGAGAAAACTTAAGGGGGGCACACATAGACAAGGGGTGAGGTGACAATTGACTGCTCAGTGTCTCTTGTCCTTATATTGTATGTATTCTAACTGAGACATTATAAAGTCATTGTCTTGTAGTTTGTCTGTTGATGAACTAATCATCTCATAATACCTACTCTTGTTAGCACTTACAAACATGTCAGAGTTTGAAATAAAGAAATGTCTGACTACAACCCAACAAAAATCATGAGTAATGTGACATGAGTATTAAAATGTATTTCACATTTATGTACTCTAACTCAATGTAGCATTTAATAAAATCTTTCTTATGATCTAAATGCTTTGTTTGTTCTGAATATTTGAGTTTGTCCAATGTAACTGTTTGTATAACAGTATTGTTATCACAATAGATATTAATTGGTGCATTAGAGACCTACAGAATCTCTTCAGCTAAATGAGTAAGTACAATTGCTTCCTGTGTTCCTCTTACAAGAGCTATTAATTCAGCTTCATACATTGAATTTGCCACTAGTGTTTGTCTTTTACTTGACCACAAAACTAATGAATTGCTCAAGTAAAATGCATATCCTGATATTGCACAATGCCCTTCTTGCATCATGCTGTCCATGTCTGTATAGCTATTCAATATTGATTGATTTGTACTGCTGAGTTGGAGCCAGACATTGTTCATAGTTTTTAAGTACATGTAACAATGTTTAAGTGCTAGATAATGCTCCATACCAGGGTCATTGAGGTATTTTGCTAACTGATTTGTTACAAATGCTATATCTGGCTGTATACAGTCTGTAATGTATCTAAGTGCACCAACCATGTTCATGTATAGTATATCAGACATTTGTTCTCTATTGTTATCAGTTTGCAATACTGTTTTTAATTGTGTACCAGGCTGTATGGGTGTTTGTACACTTTGTTTGTTTGTAAGTTTGTAACATTCTATTATACTATTAATATAATGTGTCTAACACATCCTGATGAATCTATGCTCTCTGTTGTATTGAATCTCTATACCAAGTAGCTAGTATAATTTGCTACTGTCTGTATATTGTAAATGATGTGCAATAGATTGTTTTATCATTACAATAGTATTATTATTCACTACTACAATAGTAATATCGTCAACATGTACAAATAATATGGCTACAGTTATTTCTTTCTTCTTTGCAAAGAATACAGTGTTATTATGTTCAGATTTTGTTAATCTGTATTTAAGTAGTATATTAGATAGCATTTTATACTATCTTCTACCAGCTTGTTTTAATCTGTATAGTACTTTTCATAATTATAATATTTGTCCATTCTGTAATCTGTCTATTAAGTTACCTGGAGGAGGTTTAACATATATTTCTTTGTCTTCTGTCAATTGTCTATACAGATATACTGATTTTATATCTATCTGATGTATTTCATAATTATTAGATGCCACCCATGCTAATATTAATCACACTGTAGATAGTCTAGCAGTAGGAGCAAATAAATCATTTGTATGATAGTCAAGGCTGTCAATCTGATAGTTTCCTTGAACTACTAATTGTGCTTTATATTTTTCTATACTATTATCAGCATATTGCTTTATTTTATAGACAAATTGTGTTCTGATAATGTTAATATTATTGTATGGATTTGTGATTTCCCATGTATTATGATTTTCTAATTGTTTTATTTTGTCTTTCATAGCTGTAATCCATGAATCACAATCTGGACATTAGATTGCTTTATAAAATGAAGTTGGATCCGATTGTATTTCACTTATTTTAGTATTAAATTCTGTTAAATGAATGGCAATATTATCTTTATCCTTTTTGCTAAGTGCATACATGTGTTTTGTTATGTGTTTATTCTCCATACATTGTTTAAGCTTGATAGCACATTCTGTCAGTTTCTGCTTCTGTTCCAATCAATGTAATTTAGGTTCTACTTCTTTTTTGGTTAATTTAACTTTGTTGTCTGTTAAGTCTGTTAGTTCTACTGCTTTTCCTTTTTTGTTAGGATCAGCATTGTCTGTATCATCATTGTCTGTTCTCATTATTCTATTGTCCATTTTGTTATTTTTAATTATTAAACACTCATTCGTATTGTTGCTTGTATTGTCTATTTTCTCCCCTTCAATTTGAGGAGGTTTACCTTTGAGAAATTGAATATTTTGTTTGATGGTAATTTTATTATTGTGCCAAGTTTTATGGCCTTTACTTTCATTGTCTAATCCTATCCAACAAGCAATGATACCTTGCTATTGTATTTTTGTAGGATTTTTGTTGTGAATGATAATATATTAACCAAATTTGTATATATTATCAATTGTTCTGTGTGTTCTGTAACGTTTGTAATGTGGGGTATTGTAATTTAAAGTAGCACACAGTGTTCTATTATGAATATAGGTAATATGAATTGCTGCTTTAGCCTATAATATAAGCAGTAATTCAGTAGATGTTAGATATGCTCTTACACCTCTAAATATAGTTTTATGAGTTTGTTCTGCTATTCTGTTCTGTTGCAGAGTATGATGTATTGTTAATCTTCGTTTTGTTCCTTGTGAATCTAAATATTGTTGGAAATCTTTACTAAGGAATACAGTATTGTTATCACTTTGTAAAAGCTTTATTTTAACTCTGTACTGTGTAAATATTTTAGTTGTCCATCATATGTATTGTGTATATGCATCAGATTTTGTTTGTAATTTGAGCATTATGCACTAACAAGTAGAATTGTCTA